TTAAGAGTCTCTTAAAATAATGTTAAACATAAGATCGACTATAAAAATCTCTTTAGGTCTTGAAGGATCTAACATGGATCCTTCAAAGAAAGAAAAAGGAACAAAATTCTTCGATGATCGACTTTGTCTTCAACTTCGCAACTTTGATAGAGAGAATGTAATTCTCATTTACTTCTAATCTTAATTTTAATTTTATCTTACTCATCAAATATCTTTCTCATTCCTAATTATGATTATGGGCTCGAGGCCGTATCTCGAGCTGAATACTGGTTGACGTCACACAAGCGTCACGCAAGCGCCGTTCGCGGAACCACGCTTTCTCTAGAAAGTTTAAGTTTTCCTTTCGCCGAGCCATATAACTGTCACATGGGTATTGACCCTTGAAAACACTGGCGATTTTATCAAATTATTATGCAAAATCAACACTACCAAGTTTCGCTTTTACTTCAACGATAAAACTATAAAAATGCATTAGTAATTAATTTCTATAACATTTTACAGAAAAAAAGAATTAGCAGACAAAAATATTAATAAATTTGAACAATGAATGTTTCTGGAATGACCTGAAATATCTCCATTTCTAACTTCTTTTTGTAGAATCACAGGAGGTCTGTTTTTTGTGGCTGAGCTATGCACTTTTGAAACTCAAAGTGAGATATGTTTGATATTTGTCGAAAGCGAGAAAGAGAGTTCTAGTGAAATTTAGTGCAGGAACAGAAAATAGACCAATGGATGGATTTTGAACAATGGCGAATAAAACACATTTTGACGCAGCGAATTTTGAATAATTTAGGATCAAGGAATAAAGATATAAAAGCTGCATTTATACATACATACATATATATATATATATATATATATATATATATATATATATCTGTCCTTTAATATTGTTTATTTCATATCGTAAATATATGTTATTTCTCGACGCATTTAAATACATATATGTTTGTTAAGTATATATACATATCGTTCCTCGTTTAGCATAGTTGCGTTGCAACGAATTTTCAGGTATCTCTGATCTTTTAGTTATATTCCATCACGTATATAACAATAATTACAAAATTCTTAACGTCCATATAAATATCTTTCTTATGTAGGCACATTCTTACACGCATATATACAATTTCTTTTGTAATGCAACCGCAGAATATTATGTCTCAACGTATTGTCTCTTTTAAAGATCCGAAATTTAAATGCTGTTGCGGTGATTTTGTAACTCTCAATTTGAGTACCTAATATACAGGCATTAACAGCAAAATGTAACAGTGAAACGCAAAAAGCATTTAAACTCCGAAGATAATCCACGATAATAATTTAATAGTTTAGAAACTATTAAGCTACGACAAATCAAGTTTCAGAGAATCTATATTATTTAATAAAAATATTAATATCACCCCGTCAATAAATATATCAAAAATTAAATTGTATCTGACTATTAAACATTGTTTTAATGATCACAATAATAATATGTCATTATCAATATGGCGAAGAAGTATACCTTCTTCAGATAATTTAAAACTCCAACACTATTAATATTGTCTAATTCTTATCAAACTGTAATGTCGTATTAAAAAATTTCAACTGAGAAACTGATTATGCTGTTTTTATATTATTACAAATTGATAAATTTTTCCAAAAAAAAAATTCAATTATAAAAAAATAATAGAGTAATGTTCTTAGAAATTTCTTAAAAAGTATTTCAGAATATCTTTTACATTTCTTCAAGGTTTTTTAAAGAATTTTTTAAATGATGAGACTGCTTTCGATTGATTTGTTAATTAATGAAGGGATATCAAGTATAATATAACTTAAAAATACTAATATTATCTTATACGTCTCCAGAACCATTAAAATATGTATAAAGTACTTTATGTGTAATTACCTTATTATAAATTTACGATATATAATTACAATATATCAACAATATTAAATTTACATTTTCAATTAAGTAACTCATGTATAATCATATATATATATATATATATATGTCTAAACTATGTTAAGTATCCACGCTTTTTTTTTTACAAAAAATATGATTTTATTGTCCACTCCGAACAAGTAATAGATAATTTGTGCACAAAAACTTTGATTTGTATATTGGAAGCAAAAATATGTCATGACTTCTCTTTTTATGTTATAGGAAATCTGAATCATGCGTTACGTTATATCAATATTTCGATAAACAAGCAACAATTAAATTTTTTCTAATATCAACTCGCATCATATATTCAAACTCTTACCATTTCAAAACACCTTATTTTTTCTTTATATATGTAGAATAGACTAAAAAAGAAATCTTTTAGATGTACTTCTTTGATTTTAATGAAACTTGCGTTTTTGTATAGAGGATAAAAATGTTCGATATATTTTTTTATCAGCAACCAAACATATTTAAGCAGGTTGTAAGGCAAATGCAATATGTTAATGATTTAAAAAATTATAGATTATTCTAAATTGCATTTAAAAATAATATAAAATTAGAGATAGTTCATTTGGATCAAATTATTTCAATAAAAAGTAATATTTTTTTAATTTGTACTATAATAGAAATATATGGAAATGTATTATAAAATAATGATAAAAATCTCAATTTTTTAATATAAGTTCTTTATGGATTCAAAAATATTTATGAAAGTTACATTGAGATGCAGACATTAGTTATTCAGTAAATAAACAAAATATTTATTCGTTATGAATCAATTCGTAAATTTAAATGAAACTTTGCAATAAGTCATTTTTAAAAGTACCTATATCAAAAAATTTAGATTATCATTTTTTAAATTTTTGTTTTTTCTTCTTCTTACATTAAGCCTCTGGCCTGTGTTACACCTCTCTCATATTATTGCTTATGATGCGCACGCTGATTATTCAATTGTCATGAACACATAGGACCTATAGTTTTAATCAGTTCCGAACGGCGGAATTTTTCGAGGTGTTTCTCGACAAGGATACCCTCGAGAGATTGTCGGCCTTTTCCAAGAGGAGACACGGACATAAATATTTTGGTTCCTACTGAGATCGAACTCGGGACCTCTGACATAATAGACCAGTGCCATGTTAAATTTTTGTTTATAACAATAAAAATAGCAAATAAAATAATCTATAAAAATGTGTTGCTCAATAAAAACAGTATGTTATAAACATAACTTTCATATGTACGTAGTTTTTTGTTTAAAGCGTAAATATTTAATATGTGTTTTATGCCCTTACAACCTTCTTAAGGCGTGAAATCAACCAAATTTTCTTTTTTCGGCTATAACTTTTGAATGGAGTATGATACGTGTCATTTCGTTAAGATGGTTCTTTAGTAAATTAAGTTACCATAGAAATGTCTACTTTTTTTATAAAATGGAGTGGAAGTAACGAAGAAATTGACGCGTGCAAAATTCTATGGAAGATTAATGATAAAATAAGAAAAAAAAAAAGTTAAATATATAACCTTTATATACCTATATATATATATATAAATATATAACCTTATGTAACCTTTCACGTATAACTTAGTGACAGACAAAACTCGTAAACGATTCTTCGACTAGCAGTAGAGACTGTAGATATCGGGAGTAAGCTGGCCCAGCCAGAAACGTTGAGCGACATTAAATCAGCATCGATTTGACGATCAATCATTTCTGGCTGGATCGGAAAACCAGCTTATTCCCAACGTATCTACAGTTTCTACTGCTACTGTTCATTGTAGAGGACGCTTAATAGTTTAAAAAATTACGATTTTAATAAAAATGTCATAAAAAAGTAATAGGTCAACAGCCACACACATTCTGGAAAGATATTAACATGCATAAACTTGCATAGAGGACCCCGCACAGCGATTTTGGCAGAGTTTGATATACAATAACTCAAAATCTGTTTATTATTTTACTTCGTGCCCATGAAGACTTTTGATCAGGACGACAACATATTACAAATTCAGCCAAATTAGCCGGGACCCAATTTCCGTATGTTTTATGTGCGGAGTCCTTTAAATCTCGAAAAATAAACATAATTTCATCTTATTTTCGTTCGATGAAAATGCAGCTCTTGATTTACTGTCATATGTTCCATACTATTTCATTAAGATATACGTAGTTTTAATATTTTATCCAAATTATCCAGATATTTGTGATTTTGGGTGGGCCTTGATGAGACACTCCAAATTTTTGGCACTTTACTAAAGAACCACCTCAATATACAAATGTACTTTTCTTGTAAATATTTTTACAAATTATTTAACTGTTAATAATAATATATTATAAACGTATCATATTGCCTTCTACGTTTTGTGTAAGTAATGTGCCGATACAAAACTTTCCTGTGAAATTATATCACAGATTGGAGAAGCCCATTTTCGAAATATTGCATTTTGTCACATTAATATTTAAAAATGCAACAATAATTGTATTTTCAACTATAATTGTGTATATATACATATATAAATATTATAATTTCAATATTCTCTTATTATCACTTTACAGGTTATTCATTTCAACAATGTTATTTATGTTCTTATTTGAAATTATAACTTGTTGAGTTATATAATTGAATATAATTATAATTAAAATTATAAGTGTTAAGTTGCCACAAAGTTTTTAGGGAAAGTTTTGTATAATATTCATTTACTATATAATAAATAAAGAATTGCTGGGTACAAAGTCAATATTATAAACAATCAGATGCTGCGCTATAGTATACAGAGTGTTTCATAAATGCATGTCAATACTTTAGAACAGTACGGGGATTTGTTTGTACATTTCAGCCGATTTTCAATTTGATTCCTGCCGCTTACTGTGTAAGTAGTGTGTGTTAACGGCGGGCACTGCGAACATTTTCCTTAATCATTCATAACTTGAAAACTAAGATATGTAGGACGTATAATCAAATTAATAAAAGGAAATCCTATGTAAGACATATGTTTATATTAATAATAATAAATAAATTTCAAGACTAATGCGAGTCAGCGCAGAAGGTTGCGCAGTTATCAATAAATAAAATTATTTCTTCATAACATTGATATCTTCTTTATTTCAAAATCTTGAACGTTTCGACTCGCTTTGTAATCATACTGTACGCAACCTCTTCCGCACTGATTCTCATTAGTCTTGAAATTTATTTATTATTATTTTAAATATAGAGAGTCCGTTTTAATCATTACATATATTTATATGTTTTTTTTTATTTATTTTAGTATAGATTTACCTTCTAAAATATTGACATATATGAAACATTCTGTATATTAGGAGATAAACTTAATTCCTGTCGTTTTTTCGTCTCCAAAATTTTTCGGCCAGTAATATTTAACGCTTTCAACAACTCTAAACGCGTTTGAACTGGATTCTCGTCGAGAAATTCTTACAGCTCGACATCTTCAAATTTTTTTCGTCCGGGACGTTCTTTATTTCTCACGTCAAAATCACCGTTTCGAAGGCATTCAAATCAAACTCTACATTCTTTCCGATGGAGTTTCATCACTATACATTTCGGATAGTAAGCGATGCGTTTCAGCTGTGGTTTTTTTGAGGTCAAAGTAGTGAAGAAGCAAATGTAGGAAAAACAGCTTATCGCGATTCATTTTCAATCGATTGTAAAATCTCTTTGGTGTCAAGAAATTTAATCTGTGAGGACTGAATTACTTTTAGCAATGTCTGAACTACATGCAAGACTTCATTCGTCGAAGTCGAAACTCGCCAGCGTTGGAGCCGGCATGCTCTGATATATAGCGAGCGGCAGGAATTAAATTTATCACCTTAATACAATATATATCTATGATCTAAACTTAAAAATATGTACATATATCTAGATGTAGATATATATGTACAGTTACTATTATTATAGTAATACATACATTTATAATTAATTTCAATTTATGCACGCCTCATTATTACGTCATATTCTTGTGCAAATATTCGAAAAGAAAAAGGGAAATGCGAAAATCAAATGTCAACGGTAAACATTTTCGTTGTACAAAAACGAGGCATCCAACATTTACGTTTATATCACTCTTTTAGGTCGCGATTTATATTGCACTGACAATATTCGTCACCCTGCATGACTTTCTGGTTCAGTTTTATAATCTTGCATGGTAAGGATATAAGGCACGACGCTAGCCACGCTTACTCGACCGATGAGACCCGAGAAGAAGAGGTCCTCCAAAACTCTAGGATTAATCGAACGGAGAGGTGCTAGCCTCAACAGAAGGCGAGGTAATCTATCGGAGCCTACACGTTGCTGCAGCTCCGTCCATGCTGCTTCCTGCAAGACTTCAACTTTCTTATGCCAGATGCCTGCTAAGACATTATCTAAAAAATAACAATAAATGTCTCACTCCGATATTCATGATAAATAGATAAACTTCATTGTTTGTCATTTACATTCACTTACCAGCACTAAAAAGTGTTAAAGCTTTAAGATATGCGTATTCAACGGAATCCACTTGTAGCTTGTGCAGTGAATTTACACAATCCTGTAGTCTCCATATATGTTCTGTAACGCATTTTACTTTGCCAGCGGTGACTTTCTCTTGTGCGATACTAGCTTGTAAGTGATTAATTATCGATGTCAAAATACTAGGAAGTGACAAGGTATATGCACATTGTGCCAGACCTAATGTGAACAATTGTCCCCAGGAACTTCTAACTAAAGTAGTTTGAACGTCAGATCTAAAACGTAAAACGTTTATCTTAAACGACGTTATGACTTTATCAATATGATCAAGAGGTAGACGTATTATTTCTATAAATTACATCACACTTACGGCAAAGCTTGAAATGCTGGAATTCCTCGTGCCCAATGTACAGACAAAAATAATAATCTAGCTGCACTTTCACATATGTAGTGAATAGACAAATACACAGGTGCTGGGCTAGGCGCCCTCAATTCAAACAACGTATTTCGCTCAGAGATTAATTGGCCGGTCCATTCTTCCTCTGGTTCGCTCGAGCCATTAACATTCTGCAAGCAGATATCGCGATACATTAACGACCTATCTATAGAAATAATACAATGAGATAACAATCGTTACTTACATCACCAATGATTTTAGCCATACTATCTGCTAACGCATGAGAAAGAAGTAAACGCTCACGAGCTAAGGTCAAAGCATCGCTGAGAGCGTCACTATCGCTGCTTTGGTCTTCCATGCTAGGGCTCTCGGGTTGTTCCCAAGTCGGCAATGCCTCGGGCGCAGGCTGTTGCGGCTCAGGTTTTACCCTAGGGTTACGGTTGCCAACTTTTGTCCCAGCCGAATCACCCAATACTGGTTTTCTCTCATGTTGTACAGCTGCAACATCGTAACAAGTCCTAGATTCGATCTCGATCTTCACTCGATCTTTTATATATGTAAATAAATAAATAAATAAATATATATATATATATATATATATATATATATATAAATTAAGATGAATATGTATTAAGTGAATATGCATAATTTCATTTCCTTTCCGTGTTATACTTTAAATTATATGTATTCTTTAACACTCGTAACTAGTTCTAAAGAACATATATATTGTAATTGAAAATATAACATGAAAAGAAAATGAAGTTATGCGTATTCATTATACTAATTAAAAAATAATCTATTGAAAAGTAGTTAATTTTAAGATGTGTCACTTTTTTATTAACACAACGATATGAATCGGTTATAAAAGGTTGATTAAAGAGTTAAAGAGTGAAAAAAAAGGATATGGTACTGTATAGCAATTAGAAGGATATTCAATAAAAAAGAATATAATAATTAATCACTTACAGTCGCTTCTCATGCCCATCGCCAAGCACTTCTGAAGTCTGCAATACTGACAGCGATTTCTGTGATGTTTGGTAACTTCGCAACTTTTGCTTCCTCTACATTGATAGCCCAGCTGCTTGCGGATGCTGCGCTTAAAAAAACCTTTGCAACCCTCGCAGCTGATCGCTCCATAATGCCTGCCACTAGCTCTGTCCCCACAAACTACACAAAGTTCTAAGGACAGTCCTAAGCCTAATGAGCCACGAACGTCCCTCGCTAATTTCACCTATAAAAAAATGTTAAAATATTATTCGAGTTAATAAAGATGAACACTTAAGAAATCAATGTAATGTGGAATAACGGATGTATATATATATATATATATATATATATATATATATATATATTTACCTCAACGTCAACATTAGTCAAATGCTCCATGCCAGAATGCAAATGAACCATTCCAGGATGATGGCCGAGATTACGAAAGTCTCTTCCTATCTTGAGATCCATCTTATCGTCATGCATATCAACGTGATTATTTTGATCCCTATCTACATCTCTCTGCAAAAAACAAATTCAATATTTAATGAAATCAATGTCACAAAAAGTTATCAGCTCCGGATTAATATATTTACCATGGCTGGATGATGTCCTATATTATGAAAATTTCTTCCTAATTTCTCGGGCTTGTCATCATGCAAGTTCTCGACATGATCAGCCGGATCGATGTCCATGTCTCTCTGCAACACGACAAGAATTTTAAAACTGGCTTTTATAAAGAAATTATTACTTCCATTAATCTATTTCCACAATAATTCCTTAATCTATTTCCATAATAATGATAAAAGAAATAACAACCGGCTTATTGATTACAAATAAGTAATTATCATAGAAATAATTTGAAAATCATTAATATCATTAATTTTTAATTATCTTCAGAATGACTACTAACTCGATGCCTCTCAACGTTTCTCGTGGAATAATAATTATCGTGAAAATAATACACAATTTGTATGATGATTACATTAGTTACTAATTTCTCGATAAACGCCGATTGTTATTTTCTCATACACGCCGCGTAATCATTGAAGGGAAAATGTTATGACAAGCAATGAACCTCTGCATCGGCATCCGGCGTACGATCGCGATGGTGGGAGAGGCTGCAGAAAGCCATTCCAACTTTGCAGTCCGGTTCCTTCTCGCTCAGATTATCGCGTTGCTCCCTATGGTCCCTGTCCATTTCTCTCTGTAAAACGGATCGGCGCCTCCGTTAGACGAGCGCGTAGAACGTATCTCGAATATTTCCGCGCTGATCGCACAATAATACACGGCGCGTTACCGTTCCGAGAGAGCGCTATTACAAACCGAGAGCGTAAACCGATGGGGCTCTCCTTTTCAATGCGTGTTAAACTAGCATTAATGATTTTCAGCCGGATATTACGAACCTCAAACGCCGATTCGAACGTTCGTGAAACGCGGTGCACTGCAGCGTTCTAACGCATTACAGCCATGTCGAATTAAAGATCGAGAATTGAATGCCGCATGTGAAAGAAGTCGGCGATCTTTCAGCAGATTCTGAATACTGGGTCTAATATTGAGTCTCCAAATTATTTATTTTGGATTGTTTAAAGAGAGCATCAATAAAGCGTATTGCATAATTGAAAAACAAAGGTAATAGAAACAAGGAATAAGGAAATAGATTTCAATCTATCAGAAATCATGTATTCTGGTATACACCATGTTTTCTGAACTAGAGTGATCACTTTTAAAATAGAATAGATATCTATATGTTTGATATTTGGCGAAAGAGAGAAAGTTCTAATGCAATCTAGTGCAGGAATAAAAAAAACAGGCTGATAAATGACTTGATTTCTATTTCTGATACGTTAAAATTTATAATATTTCCTGTTTCTATTGCCTGTGCTTTTCACTTGTGTCTCAGGCTTAGTACGGTAAAGTTGATATAATTTTTAACGAAATATGATTTGAATCCAAATTCGAGATTCAAGTTTGATAATCTTGATCTCATTATGTAAAGGATATTAAAAGAAATCACCGAACTCTGGAAAAAGCTAAACTCAAACTTCGCAAATGGGATTGAAATTTTATTTTCTTCAGAATTGTACCATGTACCACTTTACCCCACTCTACAAAATAATTGAGAGGATATAAAGGCAGAATAAAGGCCTAATTACAAAATCTTGATTTTAATAAAAATTAAAATAACTCGCTACTTTTTTATTATACACAAATAGGTACAATATCAAATGAATTTATGTAATGTCTTTAAGAAGTTACATTGTTACAATACTTCTCTATTACGATCAATATTATATAAAAAAAAAACTAATCTCCGAAAAAAAGGCCTAAGTAGAATTGTGTCTTTATTCCATCTCCTCAATTGTA